ATTTTACATTAGCTTTAGCTAAATAATATTTTAAGGATGTAATAGTTGAGTCCAAATTGTGCTTGAGGTCTCCTCATACCCATTAAACAGACTACTGAATGGTAGGAATATTTTGATATTATTGTTTTAAGGTGCCTCTTAAATGAACAATCACTGCTCTCTCGGTTATAATTTACAGTTATTATACTGGAACCCTGCTGATGTGGTGGTAAGGCATTGTAGAGGGAAAGCAGTATGTAATTTTATGATTACATATCCATTTTCTAGTGGGCCTGAGTCCCTGGGCTCTGACCTTCAGAAGAATTTCTTAGCCCTTTTTTTAACCCTTTATGTGAGACAGGAAGTCTAGTATGGGCTGAGTTGTGTAATAGCCCTTCCCCTAAGTCTGTTAAGGCTCTGGTAAAGTATTACCTTTTGAGGACAGGTCTTTCTTAAACAGAGCCCTACGTTCTAGTTGTATTTCAAATAGTTACTTTCCCTCTCTCCCTGCCAGGTGCACGAAGGAATTTATTTTCTGTTCACAATGAGCACGTGGTGGGGCTCCTGGAGGTAAAACTCACGTAAGCGTGGGAGAATCCAGGCTCTTTACATATGGGAGTGGAACCAGATCTTTTAATGTGCTTATTTCTGTTGACTAAAAGTAAGAGGCTGGGCTGAGCACTGTGGCTCACACCTGTAATCCCAGCACTTTGGGAGGCCAAGGCAGGAGGATTGCTTGAGGCCAGGAATTCAAGACCAGCTTGGGCAACATAGAGAGACCTCCATCGCTACAAAAAAACAAAAATAATTAGCCAGGCATGGTAGTGCATGCTGTAGTCCTAGCTAATTGGTAAACCGAGGTGAGAGGATCATTTGAGCTCAGGAGTTTAAGGTTACAGTGAGCTTTGATTGCACCACTGCACTCTAGTCTTCCAGCCTGAGCCACAGAGCAAGATCCCGTCTCTCCAAAAACAACAACAACAACAATAACAACAAAGGAAAGTGAGGACAGCTGCCCAAAAGACTCAGATCCAAGAAACCCTGAATATGAACTCTATATGGCCTTTACTAAAAGCAAAAAA